GAGATATAGTTATTTAGTCAAGTGTTAAAACTCGTGCTAAGTCCGCAGAAAGCATATTAGAGCGTTGAAATCTATATTTTTCAAATCAAATTTTGAACATAATTGTCGAGAATAGCCATACATTTATTTTAAGATGTTCTGAAAATTATACATTCGAAAGGTCAGTCAGAACCGCAGATATTATTGAAATTAAATCGCTATGTGTTCATGCACTAAGAAGCAGTCGCCTCAATCTATATCGGAGATTTACACAGAGCAGCAGCTTTAAGGACCATATTGCATGTTTAATGATTCACTGAGTATTGCAAAACGGCTCATATCACCACATGAACGTCTCACCGCCACACTAAGATTTCTTCCTAAGGGAAGGAGTTACGAAGATCTAAAATTTTCAGTAGGCCTTGGGCAAATTATACCAGAAACGTGCAGTGCCTTTAAAACACCATTACTTAAAGGTAAGAAAATATGTTCAAATATACTTGTCGAACAAGATTCTTTACATGGCTACATGGCTTGTTATTTATTAAATTAGGTGCCTTTTTGATCGGAAGTTTATTTTGGCATTTTCAACATTTAATAGAACCTTTTGTAATACTTACTTCATTGCTACTTGCTTCGTCACCAGTATGTGCTCCTCGGTGTTTCTTGGTCTGTAAGGAATAATAGATATTCGTAGTACCACAAGTGTGGTCTTCAGTACCGGAACCAGATTTCTTAGATTTAATGAATTTTTCAATTCCTTACGGAAGCAGCCACGTAAAGAGTCATTGTAAAAACTACAGCAATATATTTTTATTCAACAATACAATTTTAAAATCACCACTCAAAATTAACCCCAATTATTGCTGTGTAAAATAAGTGAGTCGACACTGATAAAAACTGTCCTTCTTAACTGCTTTCCCACCACACACGGACAGACTTGAACGAACGCGTTTAAAACGGACGGTTAAAATCAAGCAGTGGCAGATATTTTTGAACGCCAGCAAAAAGGACAGTTTTTGGCCACACACTGACCAACTTATCCTCAACGTTTTAACCGTGCGGGTAAAATTGCTAAAAAAGAACGACGTCTGTGGGGGCCTTAAAGGAGTGAAAATTGGTACTGAGGAAAGTGGCCGAGGCGAGGAATGTCACGTTCGTCTGGGTCCCGGGATCCGGGGCAGTCACGCAGCGGACGCCTTAGCGAGGGAGGGCTCCTCGCGCAGGCATATGGGACCAGAGCCCCGCTTGGGGATCGTCCCGTGCGTGAGGCGGGGAGCTCTCGAAGCCTGGGTGAGAAAACGGGCCGTGGTGGGCTGGAGGGTTGCTCCGGGAATGAGGCAGGCGAGGCTTATGATGGACGGGCCCGCACTCCCTCGGACCAGGGAGCTGCTTAGACTGACCCGAAGGGAGTGTAGATCAATAACAGGGGCCTACACAGGACATTGCAGGCTTAGGAGGCATCTTTGCTTGCTAGGCATTGGAGACGACCCGGAATACAGGTGGTGCATGGAAGGGCAGGATACCCCGTATCATCTGCTCACCGAGTGCCCTGCTTTGATATGGGCAAGATCCAGCACAAGGGGTCTATCTGGTGGCCTAAGTTCTTGGACGCCGGCGGTGAGCGCCCCCTTTAATACCAATACCGCACGGCTTGAATTTTGACGTTTGTCAACTCTCACTCTCATATCAATGAATGTATTAGTGTACACCGTACAAAAATGTTCCCAAAAATTAACGGTCGTTCAAAAAATATAGTATGCAACACGTTTGGTAAACTTTTTGAATTACCCGATTAAAATGGCGTTTACCATACTTGTTGCATAATATACTTTTACCACAGTTGTCGCAAAAGAAAGAAATATGCTTATTTTTATTTTCAGCACTGTTGGTGTCCCATATAAAAGAGCCAGTTTCGGGAGGTTAAAAATACTTGTTATTACATATTGTTTAACTTAATAATATTTAAATGACTCACAAAAAATTAAATCAACCATAAACTAAGTATACCATTTGAATTAATTAAGTAACCTTTGACATAGCAATCATAGAAGACTTATTAAAAAATAAATCAAACCTATGAATCTGTAAAACGGGTTATTAGTTTAAATCCTAATATATCTTCCGCTGCCTCAAAAATTTTCTTTCTTGTTCAGTTTTAATATTTGCTTTTTTGATGTAATAATAATAATAATAATAACAATAATAACAATAATAAAGAAAAACATATAAATGTCAAACAGGACTATACTGATCTAAATCTCCGGCGTTAAGGCACTGTCCCAGTACAATAAAGGTTCCGCGCAGACACAGACGAGATCGTAGCCCATCTAACTGGACTTAATTCGCCAATTTATGATGTCATCTCCGTCTGCGAAGCTCTTTACGGTACATTTCTGTATGAAATCGAATCAGCAATCGATAAGGCTAACGCGGCAACGTTCTAAACGACGTTTTAGTACCGCATTTTTTAGGAATTCCACACTGTCAACGATATCGAGAAGATACATTGAGTAGAAGAGTGAGAAGCGCAATAGATTATTGAATTTGTTCCGCAGTTGGTATCTGTGGCGTTTTTGTGGAAGAAGAAATTAATAATTAATTGGTCACATTCATGTCGGACGGCTATATAAGTTAAAAGACAGAGAAGAAAACAAAACAAATAGATATAAAATATCGAGAAATTCAAAGAAAATCTTAAAGAAATAATAATTATGTGTTTTACTATTACCTCCAACTTGTAAAAGGTAATTATTTCAATAGGCTCCGCCAAGGGTAAGAGTAAGACAAGATTTCCTTACTCAATTTTTGACACATTTTTTAATATCTTACAGTCGGAATGAATGTATCTCTGCACCTTCTGAAACACCTAGCTGGGCCGGTAGAAAGTATTTATCTATTTCTTCCTTGTATTTGTTGCTAAATATTTGGACGAGTTGGGATAGTAGTATTAATAATTTTAATCGTATCGTAGCGGGATCGCTGCTTTTTTATACAATATAAGGTTTATTATGCGTATAATAATCATCATTATTTTTAACTACAGTGCACTCATAAAGTATTAAAGAAATTCATCTAAAAACAGAAATTGGATTTCAAGAAAAATGCTCGCATACTATACAGAGTATATAAAAAAGTAATTGTGGATGCTATTTTTTTTTTTTATGGAGCGCGCATAATTCATGTAGTATACCCTATATCCTATCTTTTACTTTACATTTACAATCCTTTTATGAGCAAAAGAATAAAAAACAGAAATTTAATTTTAAAATGAACCGGTGAATACCTAGTGCCACTGTAAGTAGAGAAAATGATTTGTCGCATTTTGTCGAGAAAACTTATAGCAGGAATGAGAACACAAGATTTAAATATTTTATTAGAAGTTGGGGATAATAATGTCCATTGTGTATTGTAATTATTGGATCTTACTTCTTCGATGAAAATCTTATTGGAGCCCGATATTTACAATTTCACAATGCTGTAATTCCTACTCTCGCAGTTTGTTTCCCAAATTCAGCACGGTAGTGCTCCGCCCCATTTTGCTCGACAGGTGCGTGAATATTTAAATAAGGTATTTTCCGGACAGTAGATTGGTAGGAGGGAATCTGTAGAATGGCCTGCAAAATCGCCAGATATAACTCCACTTCATTTTTTCCTCTGTTGATATTTAAAATCAAAAGTGCATAAGGAAAAACCATAAAATTTAAAACGAGTAATCTTTTGGAATGGTTTTTAAACCGATTAGCATATCGTCAAGCAGTTAATGGTGGTCATTTCCAACACCTAGTAGAATAATTTCTTTGACAAGTTCTTTATTCTTTTGCAAATAAAAAGTAAGAAATATGTGTTGAGTGCAGGGTTACTATACCTACGATGCAGAAATCGAAACTGGATTTAAAAACAGGAACTACTTCTACATCTTGATCCACTTCTTGATCCACCCTGCGTTATGGTTTTGTTCCAAGCACTCCGGAATAAGAATTCGTTGTTAATTGATTTTTTGTTTAAATCCCTAATAATACTTCTCTCCTTTCTCTCTTTTTTTTTAAATATAGACATTTTTCTATCAAACAATAAACAAGGATTTTACAAGGGTGGGTTATAACATTGAAAACAGTTCAAGATTTTCATTAGTTTGATTTTAATGTTAAATTTAAAGCAATATTTGTTGGTTTTAAAATTTTATATTATCTAGGTGAGACTTTGTGTTTAATATAAATTATGTGGAAATATCCGTAAACATTTGTTAGCTTCATTAGTCTGCAATGTGTAGCTTAAGGATTTTAGGGATGGTTTTCATTTGGGGATTTATATAGATGTATTTTGAGTGTGATGTATAATGTTTATTTTATATTTATGCAGTCTACTGACTAAACAAAATTTATCCTATTATATTCCATAACCTCTGACAGTGGTTTTATTCAGCAGAGTAATGTAGTAAAATTCTTGGGTTTAAACGTTTTAACCTATCTTGGAAGAGTTATATCAAATCAGTTACTAACAAAATGAATAAGTACTCTTTTATTTTGTGGTAACTAAAAAATTCTGTAAATATAGAGACTGTGCTATCGTTTTATTATGCACATATTAACTCCGCACTATCTTATGGTATGGTCGTTTGGAGCGACAGCCTTCCGGGAGCTAAAGATATTTACTGTAATTTCATTAAATGTTTTGCAGTGTGCCACTTATGTAAGAGAAAATGTACAGAACTTTTTGATATCTGCTAAAGTTCACAGTTATATTACGAGTTCCACAGTATGGTTTGCCTATTAGACTTATTACCAACGAAACCAAATTTAACTCACAAAAAAATATTAGTGTGTACACGTGAGAGAATGGGTGAATGATTTCTGAGTAAATGTATCAATGAAGGATTGTTTCTGTATTGTATTTTTTGTAGGTCTTTTGACGAAACATATCTACTTGTCGATATTATTGTGAATTGGAAATATTATATTGTATTTTATTGCTCGAAAAATTAATACTATTATTATTACTATACTCGTAAACTAACATACCCGAGCGCGTGGCCTTAGACTTAATCCAAAGAGCTGCCGCAAAATTGAAAACCAAACCAAAAACTCAATATGAACCAACCAGAGCACTCCGAAAAAAACACAAACGCGAGCGAAAATTCGCGAAGGGTAAAAAAAAGAGGCCGCGGCGGACGCGGATGAAATGTTCTTTTCTTTAATTCGTAGGAGGCCACGTTAAACGAAGTCCGTGACGTCGGACGACACAAGTTCTCCGTCGGAGATACGAGCGCGAACTGAAAAGCTTTCCCGTTGACGGCGAAGAGCAACTCAAGCCGCGACTCCTGTTGCGAGTGCGCCCGTCTACCACGGGACTCGCCGTTCCTGCCGTTCGGTAGCCGCGCGAGCTTTTTCGTTACCGCAGGAATATAAATCGCGCATAGTTACCGCATTTATTTGTTTAATGATAAGGGATACGCTAGGGAAGTTATTTACGAACATACTCCTGAGGAATCTACTGTCATGGGAGTCTGCTTTCGGCATTATACCAATCAGGTTTTCGCAAGGGAAGGTCCTTTGAACGGTATTGTGTAAAATGATACGCAGTGGATTTTGATATAGAAATATTTAATTTCTCTATGCTTCAAGAACACAATTGGGGGGTTGGAAGGAAAATTGTTCCATAAACGGCAAAACTTCATAACTTTTTTGTACGAGGGCTGCCTTTTATATTTCTGGATTTTTTTAAACTAGCCCTGCCATCTGACGACTAACGTTTTCAAAGGTAAGTTTGATATTTTTAGCTTATTCTGGAGATTCTGATATAGTTTTCAGCATTGACGCACCTTCTAGTTTCTGCATACAGACACATTTGTCTTGCTAGAGAAAGTTGCTCGAAGCCATCCATCCTTCTTCACGTGTTAACTTTGCAGGCAGCTAAATGTTTTGTTGTTGTTTGATATTTTTAGCTTATTCCGGAGATGCTGATATAGTTTTCAGCATTGCCGCAACTTCTAGTGTTCCTTCTGCATACAGATATATTTGTGTTGCTAGAGAAAGTTGCTGGGAGCCATCCTCTAGCAAAGGTCGTACACAAACTTTTATTGTTGTTAACGAATAGTCTTTCAAGGCTTTGCATGTTCTACATTGCTCAGTGAATGCTCAGTACTGTTTAACCACTTTCAATTTCGTTGCTCAAAAGTTTTCTGTTTACAGAAATTGCGTACTATTGTTCAAACTCGTCGGGAGAAGTTTTGTTGGTTCTCTTGAAAATCATTTTTTTGTAGATAATAATGTGTATAATTTGTAGATAATTATAAACTATTGAAGTCTTTGCAGTGTACTGCTTCCCTGCGCACCATACATCGTCTGTCCTACTTTGCCAAAATCTGTAAACAAAAATACAAAAGCAAGTTGAAGCAGGTTATCGTTTAAGTTGTATCAAGTTGTTGCAAGAATAATAAAAGCATCTGCAACCCAAAACAGGTCCTGGTATTATGTTCCAAATAATATAACTCATATCAAACTTATTAATATACGGATTGTTTGTTTGGTTCGCTCCGACGTACTGTTGAAAAAATCATGTGAATTTGATACTGAACACTTCATAATAGTAATTCAAAAAGTGTTCATCTATATGGGACTTATCCAGTGAGGACTTTAGCAACAGAGTTTTGAAATAGAAGCAATGGGGGAAATTGGTGGGAATTTTTGGAGGCGACTTAGTGGTGAAGAAAAGAGAAAATTACTTACGTTCTAATGCAATTTTCTTTACAAAAGCTCCCTCTTCCACGGAAAACAATCGTTAGTAACCTTATATACGTTTATGATGTTGAAATCCCGTTGCTCTAATTTCTGAACTGGACATAATTTATAAGACTTCCAGTTGTTTATTTGAAGGCACGTTCAAAGCATTGTTCTTTTGATATGTGCATCTAAGATCTAAGGAGTCTCTGCAAAATTCAACAAAATATTAAGTTGCTCTTCATAATTGAAAATATGACATCGCCTATTTTTTTTCTTTTTTCAAGATTCCATATAATCTAAAGTGTTGGTAAATCCTGTCGAAGATCTTTTTTTCTGGGCGTCTCCTTAATGTAAATTTTGTTATATAATCTCTGAGAGCTAGGGTATCTGCTTAGATATTGGTTAAGGGGAGCGCAGCTAAATGAGGGGCATAATCTTCGTCTCGAATGACTGAGTCGCAGTTTAGATTGTTAGGTTCCTTATAGATTTCTATAGACTCTAGAATTTTTCGTTGGTAGAAGAATTGACTACATTTCAGAATTTAAGTTTTATCGAATAAAATTTTAGATCCGGTTTCGTCATTGTGTTCGGCAACTGCTGGTGAGTTTATTTGCCTTAGTCTTAAGGCTTTTTCATGTTCTTCGAGCCTAATTGACATTTTTCGTCCGGTATCTCCAAAGTATTCTTTGCCGTATATGCATGGAATGCAGAAAATTCCTGACATCTCAAATGGAATTTTGTCTTTGACGGATCGAACACGTTGAGATATTTTTGGACAAGTGATAAATTTATTTTTGCCGCTATATTTCTTTAGAACTATTGATATGTAGTCAGTGATGTTTTGAATATAAGGAAGGACAAGACTGGCAAGTGCGGGGTTGCTTTCAGGCTCATTGCGATTGGAAGTTTGTGGTGAAGTGTATTTTGTGATGGAATGCTTTATATGTTTAATCTGGAAATTATTAGAGAGAAGAGCAGAAGAATTCTGGGTTCAGTGACTCCAGCTGAGATAGTTTTGCTGCTCTGTAAACAAGAGAGTTGATAGTCGATAATTTTTGGGTCATATGGTGATGTGACAATGCATTAAGGTATCGGTCTGTGTGCGTATTTCTTCTATAAACACAACGACCCAATATTAGGCCTGATTTCCTATTGATAAGAATATCTTAGAATGGGAGGGGATCATTAGTTTCTATTCAATGGTAAAATGTATTTTAGGGTGTATAGAGTTTAAATGTCTAAAAAAATCTACTAGACCAAGAGGCCAAATAACAAAAGTATCATCGACATAGTGTTTCTATAATAGATTCTCGGATTTTAGTATATCTGAAATGATGTTGAGGGTTTCAGGAATAGGAACTTTGGTAAATAGGGATTCTACGTCGAAACTAACTAGAATATCTTGTGTATCTAACGTAATGCTTTTTAATTGTTCAATGAACTGAAATGAATTAAGTACGAACCTATCAGTTTTCCATGTAAGGGGTTTTCGTAAAGAAGCTATATATTTTGCTAGAGAATATGTTGGAGAATCAATGCTCCTGACAATAGGTCGAAGAAGTAATCCTGGTTTATGAATCCGAGGGAGTCCGGAGAGACGAGAAATTTTAGAGTCATGATTGGTGACAGACTTTTTCACAGAGTATGATAGAGTAGTCTTAATAACAGATTTAACATTGCGTAACAATATCTTGAATCTTTTCCTGATATTCATTTGTGTTCATGACTACCGAGGCATTTCCTTTATCTGCTTTTAGGATTAGATTTTAGAGATTTTAGGGCAATGCGTTTAATCCTTGGAATATTAGATGTAGGAGGTTTTGATTTTTTTTGGGATAATACGTGGGGCAAGGACGAAGTTGGAACCTTTCGCCAGAACTGATTTTTTCCGTATCCGAAAGTTGGTGAAATGATACATTTATCACAGTGTTTCGTAGTTGAGAAGAGTTTGATGGTGTCGCTAGCGTTGGCGTTAGTGGCTAGTGGAAATGAAATCGTTTTACAATAGCAAACCCTGTTAAGCAGTGTGTCTCCCTTTTGCAGATAACAATATGTTCACATTTTTACAATCGAAAATATATAAATATGAATTTGTCAAAAAAATGGAGATGTCCCCTTTCTGCAGTTAGCAATTCATATGTAATGTTTTAAAATGCTTTTCATGCTCTTACATATCGCTAAGTCCATTCGTGATTTTAATGTAGCCAGTTGAGATCTAAAACAATATTCCAACGCGCCTCCTCAAAATTAATTTCAAACTTAACATAAGCTTTGTTTAGTAATCTTACGAAAACACAACTATTAATATTCTATTTCATAATCCAATACCTTCCTTGAGCAGTCTGGGGAACAATAATTAATTTGGTTCAACATTTGTTGCTTGGATTAGGAAACCGCAGGGAAACCTAATCAGATCAGTAAACTCTTACTCTATATCTACTTTCATTTTTAATTCCAGGAACTTAGGTGACGGTAATGGTTTCAGTCAGCTTACTTAGTTCAAATGCCCTTTCTTCACTATTTTTCTAGAAATATGATACTTGATATCAATATTTTTAGATCATTTATAACGCGTAGGATTTTGGACAATACTGATATCTAGAACATAAATATACCAACAATCAACAAGGATATTTCTAAAAAAGCTTACAAATTTTTAATTTTTCAAAGAAACTTCCACAGGCTACTGTAATACTTTTTACAAAACTTCTGGATTACAAACTTTTATTCAACCCACGGACCTGATTAGTCTTCAAATTCTAGGTACTGGTGAAAAAATTTCGTTGTAGCCGAGAAGATATTTTTGTCTAAAACCTGCTTGCTTTATTCGAGAATCTAACAGGATTTCCATACTCATAATTTTTCAGAGAAAGTATCCATTTTCTACTTAAAAATTAAGTTAAAATAAAATTTTTTTTTTCATTAACAGTTGACGAAGTTATGGGTCCCCAATCTTCACATATATATATATATATATATATATATATATATATATATATATATATATATATATATATATATATATATATATATATATATATATATATATATATATATATATATATATATATATATATATATATATATATATATATTCGAAAACACTTCGAACACTCGGAGCGCGAGCATTGAAGATGCCAAGTGAGATTTTGGCGAAACGTCTGCAGGATTCCAGTCGGATGCAGGATTTGCAGGATTCCAGTCGGATGCAGGATTTGCAGGATTCCAGTCGGAGTTCAACGAGCGAACAGATGATATCCCGGAATATAGTGTCATCACATTTTTCCATCCGTGAATCAATATATATATATATATATATATATATATATATATATATATATATATATATATATATATATATATATATATATATATATATATATATATATATGATTGATTTGTTTGCCACTTATATACGACTATTAAGACTCATTGGTAGATGTAACATGATTTACAAGAAAAATATCTTGGATCGTTTGTTTCGTTTCTAAAACTATAAATTTATCTTTACTTTCGTGGTCCAGACGTTAATACCATATTTCACAGTTTGTTTTTTTTACGAAAATATGTG